ATGACTTGGAACCAGGCAAAGGTTGTTAAACATGTTTTGTGTCCATTTGTTTTTTCTGTGAATATCAATACCAAGCAGGAAGTAATAGAGAAGGGTTTATGGAGCAATTACGACATGTCATAGCCAGACGAAGGACTACAGGTGCGACACAAGTCTGAGTAAGGCGAAACACTGGCCTAAATAAACATCAGAGCGGGACAGAAAGGTAAAAGATTGACCTGACAAGGAACAGAAACTCCATAAAATTACTGATTAACCGATCCTGACATCTTTTCTCTATTGGCAGTATTAGCTTTAGGGGAGGTGTCAGAGTTCAAACTGATTTGTCACCTCTGACTCTGAAGGGAAAGAGGACCGTGTGTGGAAAGATATCAATGTGACTTAAATTAAACCTTGTGTAAGTGAGAGATTCAAGAAGTTTGAGTGGTGAGTAATACCAATGACACTGACCTTTAGGAAGGGCGTTCGGTTGGACTGTTTGGAGGAAGGAATGGACAAAACCTGACAAGAAGCCCATGACGTCCTTCTCCGTGTCCTGGTACTGGGGCTGGGGGACGCTCTGGGGGGCCGCAGCAGCTGGACAGGCAGCGTGTGGGGGGACGGACTGGGCCAGGCTGAGCCCCAGCAGCAACACTCCTACTGCGGCCCTGAACGCACCACCACTGCCCTGCCACCTCCAAGAGCTCACACTCTCATGTAACCCCATGTCTACAGGTGTGACGGGTGTGAAAAGACTTGTCCAGACAGAAAAAGTAATCACCTCATGGCACAAGCTCTGTCTTGATGCGTCTGCAAATAGAACAAATGAACTGAATACAATGAAACACTCAAACAAGGCAGGAGAATTACAGATTGAGAAGAAACCCACAGACTGAGTCACAGAGGTTGCAGCGAAGTTTGTTGCACCAGAAAAACACCAGAAAAACTGTTAAACTGTTTCTGCAGAAGAACAATGGCAATTAGTACATGGGAAATAGAAATGCTAACCCAACACCTACAGTATTTCATTTCTCAGATAAACAGTGACCTTTAAGCTTCTATTTCATACTTCTATAATCAAGCAGAGACTTTGGAGTGGGTCATTGAGTGCTGATATTTAAAAATGACAGAGAAAAGTCTTGGCCCATGAAGGATTATTAAATGCATGTATGACCGTGGTGCCAGCACTGTGTTCATAGTGTAATCACACAAAAACCGCATCCGCCTCAGGTACCGGCATCACCTCTGTTTACCTAAACCTGGGCTTGACTCTCATAACAGCTGACAGTAATAGTTTTGTCAGGTGTTTAGACGTATTTTGTCTTCGCAAAACGACTGCTCAATGTTTGAATATCAATCAACACTTGTCAACTGTATGCTTTTTGTTATCTTAAGCAAATAACTCCACAACGGGAACATATAGAGTACACTTCCTCTGACAGTTAAAGCAAGCTATGGAAAACAGAGAAAACTGTCTTCTTGTTTAAAAGACTTAAAAGAAAGAATAAAAACCATGATATTTAACATGTACCTTCTGTAGATATAGGAGCGTTGTAAACAAACTGTCAGAGCAATGCGTCCTGGTCTAGGCACTTGTCTAGATGAGGGTGTGGGAGAGGGTGAAAAGGTGTGTTCAGAGTGAAAAGAGGACAGATAAGGAAGGAATAGAAAAGTACATGAAAACAAAATGTAGACGCAGGAGGAAAGTGAGCATTTTGGCTGTTTTCTCTAAGATGAACTCACCTTGCTTGGTCAGACCGTGAAGGACAGTCGTGCTGCTCTGATCTCCAGTAATTCACTGAGGGGAGTGCGTGGAAACCTGATATGCTCTGCTGTTGCTGTAAAGTTGAACCTCACTGTGTGTTTGCCTGGAGAACACTGGCACTGAGAGGAGAGGGAGGGAGAGAGGCGAAAGGGAGGGTCTTAAAAAGGAGACACAGGGAGGGAGGGAGTGACGTGGGAAAGGAGAGAGTTGTGGGAACAGAATAATTGAAAGATACTCACAAACAAATGGTATTTCTATGTCAGGGGGGAAATACAGGGTTGCCTAATGTGTTTGTAACAATTTTGCGAGGATATTATTGTCTTTGCCGGATACAAGTTCTGATAACACCATCTTTCCAAGCCCACATCTGCAATTGTGTGGTATCCTAACAAGCAACAACACAGCTCAAACATCTAGGACAACATAGCTGGGAAGGATATGTTTGGGGAGATAAGTTTTTAACCTGTTAAGCCCTAGAGCCCCCTGCATAGGGGGCAGTGGGGTGTTTTTTCACGAAACTGTGTCTCAGGGCTTCTTAATATTTAAAAACCTATTAATGTGTCATACCCATTTAACGGGAAGAAACTCAGCTAACTGACGATACGAACCATTTTTACCGAAACAAAACACAAGTTTCACAAGAAGCGTCTAAATGAGCCCTGAGCGAAAAAATGCTAACACACTTAGCACAGAACTCAAGGTAAAAATACCCTTATTACTTATCGTAACTGCAAAAACAAGATATCAGATTAAAGCTGAGATTCCACAGATTCTATAGGTATAAGTATCATCACTGAGCGATCAGAACTCGTGACAGGGGAAGCAAACAGACGTCACAACACGTAGCATTACGGAACATTCACGGGAGATCGTCTCAAATTAGCTGTTATTCTGATCAATAGTCGTGTTCAATGGCATTCAAATGATAAAAACGCCGCTGAAGGTTAATCCAATGTGTCTGTGTCACTTTGAAAGGATTACTGATAATCCATCATTGCATTTTTATGTAAAAAACTGAGATTTCATATTATTTTTATTTTTATAAATCTCTCTAAAGAGGTCAAATGTCACTTGTTTTGCATCAATCTTGATACAGGGTACTTATTATATGTTGTAGTTTGGATTCCTAAAGCTTTTAGTCTACCATCCCATCATTCAAGGGTGGTTTTCACTATAAGTAATGGGTTTTTTTTGGGCGGAGGTAAGAATTTACCTTTTTTTACAATGTTCCATCTGAATTTACTCTGACACAGAAACATCTATATTGATTCTGACACTTCTACATCCAACTCACAGATGTAACCTTGCTTTGAGAAAAAAGATTATTAATTTAACCCTTTTAGAAGTGAAGATATGGTCATTTGTTCCGGGAATGTCATTTTTGAGCCTTGAGAAAAACAGGCTCAGGGCTTAAGAGCACAACATCTTAATGTTGCCAAAAAAAACTCAGAAAATGTTGTAAGGAATTTAGTTTCCCCATGGTATCATCATTGTAAAAAGATAAGATGAACATATAACTGCAGCTAAAGAAGACAAAAAGCATGACTCTTTACAGATTGAAGTAAAGCTTAAACTACATTCAGGAGAATCACTTACCAATATCCTGCTTTGATGACAGTGAAGAAATAAAAGAAACTCTTCCTGTTCTTTCATTATGGAGTCTAGTATGTTAACTTGGTCCATAATCTGTTCCGCATCGTGACACTGCCTGTCCCGTATGAGTCCTCGGATGACAAACAAATACATTTACATATTAAAGGAACACAAGTGTACAAAGGTCATGAGACTGATTTCCCAATCAAGCCTCTGAAGCGGAAGGTGATACACGTGTCGTTCCTGGTTTGTTGTTTCCGATATCGGGTGCACAGTCACTTGCTGATCATTCATCCCTGGTTCACCTCAACCCATCAATTACAGGCTCATCCTTTAATCAGCTCTAACCAGTGGCTTTGACATGTGAAGGCCTTGTTGTTTGGCGCCACTCATTGATAGTCCTCAATAATCCTGTGCTCCTGAAACAGCACCAGACTTTCTGGCTGGTCTGCTGTCGTTGAGATTAGTGCATGATCCCTCACTGACTTCCCACCTGTGAACATATTCCTGATTTGGTATTCAAGTTTCTGACTGACTTTCTTGACAGCCATTACCACAGGCTTAGTTGGTACATCCTTGTACTGTGACCATTCATTAAATGTATCTTCACAGTGTGGTAAAAAGTTCTCTGGTGTAATTCAATTTGAGATAATTTTAACACACATAAAGATCCCACGGCCGAGTTCCCATGCTCAACTACCGGAACTACTTTGTAGCTTTTGTTGGATTACAAAGTACACACATCTGAACTGTCCATGTGCTTGATATTGAACATTTTACAACATGTCCTTTAGTACATAAATTAACTTTAAGAAGTTTCCACACTTCCGTTTTGCCTTTTTTGTTATACAATAAGTTGCTTCTTGTTTACATCACACGCCAGACAGAGAAAACAGACATCAGTTCTGCTTTGTCAGGATCTATGATATGTCGTAGCTGCTCTATTGTACTGTCATGTGGTAAATACTTGTATGCTGCTCATGCTCTTTCTGCATATCATGTATTTATTTTTGCTATGTATATAAATGTCATGTTCTTAAATGTTGTATGTGAGGGACAACGGATGGAAATGAGCTCGAAGCTAAAAAATCCGGCATATTTACATTTGAAGCATTATTTGTTTAAAGTGTTCATCAATGTGCATTGTCCCTGTTCAAATAAACGATTAAATGACATTAGATATCACAATTCCTGTCATAGGTTGTCCTTCCTGTTCTCAACAAGCAGTCATTTTCCACATTAGTTGTGGGCTGCCAAGAAATAATGAATAATTTCAAAAAAAGCAACTCCCAATTGAGTCACATTGTAAATTGTGTCCTTGACAATGTTGTGTTTATTAATGAAGAAAGAAGATCTCTATTGTCTTGCTGACACTTGTTTCAATAAAAAAGTTTGTGAACTGTTCTGGCCACAGTGTTTTTGTCGAGTTGTATTGAAATATGTGTTGTGGCTAGAGCTAGAGTTTTGTCAAATTTGCATAGGTCAAATATAACAATGCTTACTTGTTTCCCAGTTATCTATTTTATTTCTTTAAGGTTTGTTTTTGTGGGATTACCCGGCTAGGATCAGTTTCACATGATAGAAAGTTTTCTCATTACAGTAACAAGTATGTAAATATGTAATAAGAGAAGAATCACAAGAGTTGAGTGTAATAACACAATACTTTTTCAGTGAAAATTCATCTTTATTAATACCATACATGAATTATCAATGACAGAAACCTGGCAAAAAATATAGATATAAAATCACCCCTATGGTGAGGTGCTACAGGAGCCAGCTATTGGTGAAATGCCATATCAACTCTGTCCCAAATATCACAAACCCTTATTCTCTGAAGGATGTCAACTTAGGAAACACAGGCTGGAAAAATATCCACCTAGATCAATTCTGTGTTGGCCTGCTGAGTAGTAGATACACCACAAAGTAAACTCGGGGCACTAGAGACAATGAGTAGGGTCTTAGTCACACAGCCTGCAGCTCAGTGAGGATTTAATGGTGCCAGATATAGTGATGGAGCACTTTCTGACAGGCTGCTCACTGTGCTCTTCTTACTTAGGGAGACCCCTGCTGGGCGAGTCTGGAAACTACTATCCACTGTCAGCTGGGCGAAGCTGAAGCCCATATTTTACATCATATTTACGTAAACAGGAAACCCTGACACAGCAGCTTGAGGTCAAGCTGGGTGAGTCTCCCCCCCAGGATAAGAGGTAATGTCAATGGTCAGCATATTTCCATGAAGTCAAATTGACTTTGCATTTTTCATGTATGAGTTATCTGAAATGTATCTGGAAACAGCCAACAAATTCATTACAAACAAAAAAGCCACATCATCGAGGTTAAGGGAATTTTGATTAATATTTCACTAAAGGTTGCACCATTGTGGAACATTTTCAACATCTGAAGAGCTCAGTGCTTTTCAGAGGATGACGCACCATTAAATATTGCAACTTTAGGGGAAAAAGGATGACTTGGCGGTTAGGATTTTCTCTAAATGTGGTTATTTATTGGTTTTCAGTGCATCCAATACATTTTCAGATAGACCAGGTACCTACGACAGCAGAATTTGGCCATTACATATCTCTTCAATGTGAACATACTGAACCACTGTGATAAACTGGGAGCCGCATATATAAAAAAAAAAAGTAAGGGAATGACCTGTATTAGCATTTACTGACTCGGCCCAAGAGACTCCTCCATATTTCATCATGGGTATAGTACAGGCGGGTTGGACCTAAACAGAATGTCAGTACATAGAAGAATAAATACAGTTTCCTAAAATGAGGGCAAAATTATTTTATCAGTGATTGTACCATTAAAAAAAACTTTTAAGAGGGTTTTTATCTCTTTACATTAGATTGAGTTTGTGATAATTCTAGGGAGGAATACGCAGAATAACTTTTACAGAAATTACTAAAATATACAAGCACAGACACAAACATGAGGAGTAAAGCCAACAAAATTATTCGTCATAAAACATAAAACAGTAGTGTAATCAATATTTAAAGAATCTTTACATGTAGCTCCTTGGTGTGCAGCTTTCTTAGTTGTAATTAAAAACATTTCTGGGAAACTTAAGTTAATACAAAAGTCTTTTTTTCCTTTTTTTACAATCTTGTCAAAATTTGATTTTTAAAATATTTTTGAGTAGCAAATTTGAGAAGTTTCTTGTTACTGTGTGTTCTGAAGAGAGGACCTCCAGATTTCAAGACGAAGCAAACAGTTCTGCAATGACATGTCAACAGATCCAACCCGGGGGCTGGAGGGACATTTTGAGGGGAAGTTGTCTTCAGTGTGTTGCTTTGGACTCACATCAGACAAGATGTGAGTCCAGTATTCAAACACTGGCTTTGCTCTCTCGCCCAAACCTGTTTTCTAGCACTGAAGCCAAAGGACCTGATGACAGTGTGATGGCCGACAGATGGGTGACATTATATTTAGCACAGACCTACATGGAAGTTATTACCATTACAATAAGAATGATCTAACAGCAATACATTTACATTAATATACTGCAGGTTTCAGATGTTTTACAGTTCTTACATTAGCAATAATAGAAAAGGAAAGGAAATACACGGTCAATTCATAAGAAAAATAGACTGGAGTCAATAGTGGGAAACAGTGCAAAGAATATTCTAGGGGTGTTTTTGTTTGCTTGCTTGTATGTTTATTTTTTCGAAATTGTTTACAAAAATAAAAACAATTCAAAACAAGTCGAAAACATAGAAAATGAAAACACACTTCTGTAGCATCTGGTGCTCTGGTCCAGACATGCTGCGTACCACCTCTCTCCAGTACCTCATTGTTTTATGCTGCAGGTGTAGGTGAGTGTAAATGTGTGTGTGTGTGTGTGTTGGAGTATGAACAGGTCTGGATGCGTGTGTGTCAGTTTGTGGATGTTTAAGATTTAGCGTAGTGGTTCTCAACTCCGGTCCTCAAGCTCCGGCACTGTACAGGTTTTTGTTCCAACCAGGTCCTACAAAAACAAATAATTGAGTTTTTAAAAACCGAAGTTGAATTTTGATACTAAGAGTGCACACAGTTTTCTGCAGCCTGCAACAAAAAGTTAAATTAAAGCTAAGCATTTCTTCCCTGTGACATGAGCACAACAGAAACAACGGGGTGCATCGTCAAGGAGAACGCACGCCTGAGAGACCCGAGGTTGGAACAAGAACCCACTGACACGGTTGCCATGGCGAGCACTCGAACAACAGGACACGCCAACTTTGGCTCAAACACTGTGGTGAGCGATGAGGGGGGGGTAAAGACACATGCGCCCACGCCGCCACCCCCGCCAGTCTCACCACACCTCTGAGAGGACTGAGTGGAGCCGAGCAGACGAGGGCCAAGGCTGAGCACCACTGATCATGTGCAGCTACGTGAGGGAGGGGTGGGCTTCTGCTGACCCTGTCCTTCATGTGACAGTAAGAGTTTTATCAGTCCATCAGCTATTGTCCATTCCCTATCAATCTCTGTTTGTTTTTAAAAGAACATGATGGAACAAAAACAAACAAAAAAAATGTTGAACGCAAGTGCTCGAGGCCGCCCTCCCTGACTCCTGTCACTAGTGTGTTGGCTCAGATGGATCCCAGTAGGATTTAAGCATTGAAAAAAAGGGTCTGACTGGGACCTCGGCACTCTACTGGGACGACTGGGAGTTGTCATTCTTGCTCTCCTGACTGGAGGGGGCCTTGTTGTTCCAGGGTGAGTGTGCCCCCAGTGCAGGAGAGCTGTTGAAACTGTCCTCATCCTCCAGGCCATTCGCCACATCGAACTGCGAGTTCTCCAGGCGCGTGATCAGACGCTCGTCCTCGTCACCAAACTCCCCTCCCATCAGAGTGGGCTCTCCCACCATCATCACGTCCTAAAGGGGACAGCAAGGGCCGATACATATTATCCCCATAATACAGGGGGCTGCGCGGAATGACTGGCTGCACGGACGGGTTGTCTGACTGCGTTTGATTCCAACGTTAGAAATTAGTTTTCACTAATAAGAAGTTCATACTTTAAGGGACCAAGGGAGTACTTAACCTTGAGATAATAGTGTCCTCTCAATCTACAATCTTTGTCAGGGCGTCTACCCTGACAGTTCAGAAGTCCATGTGGCCCTGACTCCCTATCCTTGTTCCAAGAACCAGAGTCACGGGGCCCTCCCTACTGGCCAGCAGTGGGCATCCCTGATCCTTGAGTGCAGCATCAGGGGGTTTCATTCCACCTCGGGTCTCATTGGCTCTCAAGCAACCAAGTGGGCAAAGACAGCAGTGCTGAGTGAATCATGTGCTCTGATAGATTGAGCAGTAACTCTAAAACCAAGTTGATACAGCAGAAAAAACTGCCCCACTGGAATTCAGAGCAAGGCAACACTACCACAATTATTTTAAGCATTACTTCGTAAAGGGGGTCACGTGTACCTCCACTATATAAACCCATAGACCTGTGGCCCCAGAGGACCAGGGACTGCCCATCAATGGTTCACATTAGAGGGTCTACTGACTAAATCTACACATCCTCAGAATTAGAGAAAGCAACCCCCTTTACACCTACCACACCTTAATCCCCAATCCATAAGCATCCCCTTCCTATCTCTATCCTGCTGCTACACCTACTTCCTAACACACCAACAACCCTAGCTAACACCCCCTATACCCAAAAATGATTTTCTAACCTCCTTGCCGTTTTTTCCAAACCCATCCACCCTCTGATATTTACTCCAATGCCTTGCTCAGCTGAATTTAAGAGGCGCAGAAAGAGGTCAAGTAGATGTAATGCTTACAGGTACCTGGCTGGAGAGTGAAAAGCTGTTGGCTGGACTCTTCTTTTTGCTGTTGCTGTTGTTATTGTTGCCTCCGCCGGTGCTCACGGTGCTTCCACCGGACACCTTCCTTTTCCGCCTCTTGTTTGGAGCTTGTCTGGCGGGCTCAGCTACATGTAGAAACAGGAGATGATAGGATTTATAATCATATATTTATTAAAGTCTCTGTAGATATGTTGCAGATAATGAAAAGCTATGCAATTTCCACTGGATTTGAACTCCACCGTTTAATAATTGAAGGTTAAACAATGCCATAATTGACACTGACAATCTGAAAGGTGTGTGCATTACCTGGAGGTGCGACCATTCTTTGCCACTTTTGGAAGAGGCAGGTCTTCAGGCAGTCTCTGGGGCTCAAGCTGTACGTCTTATGCCTCGACATCAACTCTTGCATGGGCTCCAATATCACACATAGCTTTATGAAAAAGAAAGAAAGAAACCAAACAGAATCAAATGAGTGTTAACAGGTTGTTGTAGGTGACGATTTATTAAAACGACCGATCGATAAAAGAAGATTAGCATAAAGTAACTTGCTTACACGGAGGTAGTTGAGCGTGGAGTTGGACAGCCCACATCTGGTGATATTTTTAGCCAGCTGATCGAGCATTTGGGGATCCTATGAGAGAGATGAGATGAATAAGTGCATGTACAGGACGTGTATTTCAGTGTCAGTGTGTGGTTATTTGCGTCTGGAACTCACATGCATGGCCAAAATACTCCTTGGGAGGACCTCTCTGTGTTGTCTGATGCTGAAGTGCCACGTCTTGATCCTCATCATGTCATCGAACATGAACTCTAGGTACAGGCGGCCCTCCACACAAACCTTATCCCCAGAGGAGAAATATAATAAGTTAGAAGTCACAGCAACCGGAAGCTAATAAAAGGCTGTACATTTTGTATCCAGTGTACCTGTGTGAACATGGGTTTGCCGTTCTGGGTCACCATGGTGCACTGGTCACAGTCGAGAGACACAAAGTTACTGTGGAAGGACTCCTTTGGGTGCTTCAAAACGTAGAACAGCTCAGTGGCGCCCCCCTCGAAAATACTTCGGAAATATCGTGGAATCAATGTCCGGCCGATGGCTGCACACACAAATGATAACTTCGTAAATAAAATGAATACAATTAATACAATTAATACATAAAAATACGCCTTACACCGGGGGATACAGTAGCACAAAATCATACAGACATAAAAACATCATTAAGAATAGGATATACATTATGCTACAAACAGTTATATGCCAATCATAAATAAAACATTCTCATGATATGGACATCACATACAGTTTATGATGAAGGTCAATTTCTTTAGATTTGCAATTAGAAGCTGAAAGTAAAACAATGATTAGCAATGGCACGTAGTCTTTATTCTTACTGTATCGTTTGGGTCCATCTTCCAGACAGAAAGTGATGGTGAGCATGGCGTCATCCTCGAAGAACTCTGTGGTGAACGCATCCCACCACAGATTGTCACAGTCCTAAAACAGAGGAAGAACCATTACTCTTATTTTTCATATAATCACAATAAAATAAAACATAGCATTCTAGTCTAACCCAGAGAGAACACACTGAAAATCAATACTGTATGTTTCCTATAAAAATGTTATTTGCTATATATACATAATACATTTTATTTTAGGCGCCTTTCATGACACCCAAGGACACCGTACAATTTGTTAAAAAAGAAAACGCTAATAGGCAACAGAACATGATGAAACACAAACAGGAAATCATGGAGGAGACAATCAAGTGGGTAGTGAGTAGGCAGATTTGAACAAGTGGGTTTTTAATTGGGATTTGAATATGGTGATTGTGTCTGACTGTCGGATGTGCGGGGGGAGGGAGTTCCAGTGTCTGGGAGCAGTGCAGCTAAAGGCCCGAGCACCCATGGTGACGAGGCGTGGGATGGGGTCGGTTAGCAGACCAGCAGAGGAGGAGCGGAGGGAGCGAGAGGGGGTGTACTCCTGAAGAAGGTCAGCCAGATAGAGGGGGCCAGGTTATGTAGGGCTTTGTAAGTGAGCAGTAGGTTTTTGAAGTTGATACGGGATTGAACAGGATGAGGAATTTTAAATAGATTATATGAAACCACTCAAAAGAAGAAGCAGAAATTCTTGTTTCCTCTAATCTACCATTTAAATAACCGTTCAACTATTCCTGCATAGTTTCTAATACAGACACAGGTGCTCTTAAAGATGAGTAAATATTGGTGGTGCAAAAAAGCTGAGTTGAACTTCCTAAATAAAGCATGCTGGGCTTCATGTGTGTTTTGTTGGACATAAAACTAAAGTGTGTTTAAATTCCTCCAATGTACAGAAGTCATTGGGTATGCATTTCTAATAGTGTGCACACTGACAGTCATATAAAAAGGGTGGCTCATAACAGCTACTCAGTAGCGAACTCAGGCATATAAACAGTTGGCACTCCAATTACATTTTAGCCAGGTTGATCAGATAATCCTATTAGAGCCTGAATGTAAATTAAGTCAGTGCATTCTCGGGCTTCATTTCCCATAAATCCCTAGCATGGTTAGCTACACACAAACAGCCGCTGGGGAGGGGACATCTGAAAACACGGCCACAGTGAGCTGCAGAATGTAGCACTGCAGATAGTAATCACAAGAAGCCTGAAAATGAAACACTGATGCTGTGTTTTTGTTTGGTGTTGAGTTCTTGTTACTCTCTATGTGGATGATGAAGTGACTCTAACCTCTGTCCAATTCTGTAGCCTTTTGTTCAGCTCATATATCCGGTAATCTGTCTGGTTCCCGTACGGTGTGGGTCTCCTGAAACAGAAAGAAGGGGGGTTTAATCACTCTGCAGTTTTGTGATTTTTAACACATGTAGCATAAACAAATGACACAGGCGGTCTCAAGCTTAATTTAACAGCAGGTGAATTGAATGTTTATGTGTTATAAAATGAATGGAGAGTAGAGATTATAAAGACTGAATGAATACATTCTGAGTTAAGACAGCTACAAGCTCAAGTTAAGCACTCACCCCATTCCAGGCTCCATGTATGATGGGGGGTACATGGGTGTAGGCCTAAGAGGAATACAAAACTAAATCAGCAACCATTTGCTTCAAGGCAGGATGTGTGTTTGAATTTTTCACGGCTAGTTGATTTTAAATACACATCCACATAACCATAAATCAGGAAGGTATTAAAAAATGGTTAACATGTTCAGTATCTCTCATTTGATTTCAATTCAATATCACGTTCAAAGTTTGGGTGATGAAACAGTGCAATTTGAATATGCATAAAAAAAACATACATACAGTGCACGTATTCTTCAGTAAACTCTCTATGTCAACAAATGACATTAACATATTACAAGTTGTAGAAAGGAAGACATCAGAATGAATACCCTGCTTTAACCTATATTGCATTTGACAGTATAGCCGAGACCTACCCCACATCTCTGTCCAGCATAGCTCCTGGGTGGAAGGGGGGAAAGCTGCCGCCGTTGGGGGGCTCCTTAGGAGAGTACAGCTTGAATGACTTTGACGAACAGCCTGCAGAGAAGCACGCAGCAGAGGAGGGGGGAAAAGAACAGAGATTTAGAGGAGATTTAGATTGCTTTAGACTTAGCTCGTTCAAATCACAGCATCATCTAAGTAATCTAATGCTGGATGATTTTGTGGAGATTTACTCAAATAAAAAGCAAGCTGCCAAAACAATTTCCTGCTGCTTTCATTATCTAATGCATCTTCAATTTAGTAAATGGACAAGAAAACAAATCATCACAGGGAGAGGAAAAACAGCAATATTTATTAGCCAGCCTGAGAAAACAATCAGTGAAATGGGAGACACATCAGAGGAGATTGTCTGGCATGTTCTCCGTGCTCATTATAGGGAACCCTCCTCTGTGCATTCAGCCCCATGTAATCGAACCATGCGCCTGTGTTGTGTGCGTCTCCCCCTCTAGTTGCCTTATTTACCCATCCCCCACTCATATCCCAGCAGTTGTTAACCCATGTCTGTCCAGATAAGGCATTCATGCTCAGACAATCAGCGCTATGAGAAAAACATCTATTCTAAACGTCTTTTCTCAAGGAGACCTCACACAGACAGCGGCTGGATCTAATTAGGTCCGCCTAAAGATGTGGGATACTCCAGCTGATAGTTGTGGACTGGGATGTTGAGAAAAATAACCTTTGGAAAAACTGACTTGCCCATCACAACTACCCTTTGGCTTTACTACTTGTTAGCATCGAAACAGAAATATGTAAAGGGACCTAAAGGAAATGAATATGTGTGGTGATGATGAATTCAAAGGAGGTAAACAGATATGGGCAATGTCTCCCCTTTGGAAATGTTGATTATTAATGGCCTGCATGTAAATCCAGTATTACCAATCCCCATAGAAACATGAAGGCCGCATGATGTTAATTTGTTACTTTCTCAATTCATGCACAATTCTCAGTCACTGTCACCAGGGCGTCTAGAATAGTAAGTGTACCAAATTAAAACCAGCAGGGGGGCACTCATTGTAGGCCGCTCGAGCGCCGCATCACACCCAACTGTGCTGTATCTTTTAGGCTTACTACAACACTTGTGTTAACCTAATGGATACCCCACAGACAGAGACTACAAATGATGTTTTTGAAAGATGAGCGACAAATCGAGGGAGAAAGGGATGAATTGGGGTCAAGTATGTCTGGGTGAACTCTGATCTGTCTGTCCAGTCTCTATTGCTGGAACAACTAAAACGCCTTCATTCACTCTGTCTAACCCTTCACCCCCTTGCTCCAGAAAGAGTCACAGCAGGTCAACTTCTCCTCCCATTACTATGTGGGTGAACCTGCTCAGAAGAACCCAACAACACTAACAGCATTAGATGCAGACAAGACTCAAACACACATAAGCAGTCTTTGTTTAATCTAAAAAGGCAATGCAAAAACTACATGGCAACAAATAAGAGCAGGATTCTTAGTTTCTCCAGAATAACATGCCTACACATTCAGAAACAGACATTCTACAAAATGCTGACACACAGTGCACTGTCACCTTGAAAACCAACCAACAAGCACTCTAAAAAGCTGTCCAGTCTCCAGCATCAAACCTGTATAAAAACCATCTGCGGATTACAGCACTCAGACTAACAGATGCATACATAATGCCACGGGCCAGAAGGAAACGATCAGGAAAGCAACCTGACGTTGGGTACAAATTGAGATGGATGACTCCAGCCAGTCAGCATCTTTTAGAAGAAGCCGACTAAGAATTAAGATCATTATGCATAACCCATCTAACAAAAGGGGAACTCGAAATAGTGTGACTTTGATGCAGTTTAGTCCGCCCAGACTGTTCATTGCAAACAATAGAGCTGCATCCAGAGGCTGGCCCTCAGCCAATAAAAGATCCAAAGCAATGTATCAAGACGGCCAACACCATTGAGATGCTTATTGGTGTTTATGTTTTGTTGTGTATGTTGACCTGCACAATAGATATTAAAAAAAATGAGGCAGTATTCACTTTCGGGACCAGGCGTAAATTGATCTGCAGGGCCGCATTCATTTACCGAGGACGGATGCCATTGCTAAGCTATTACCTAGCTAGATGCTAAACTCCCGTTATTAGCGCCGTGCAATTATAATTTCCTGTGCTTCTTCACTAGTGGTCTCTGCATTTATTTTTGAACCAACAGAGCTGCCAAAGTAGTGTGGCTGTAAGTTTGAGTTACCTGCAGAGAAAGGTCCACCGAAAGGCGGAGTTGCTTAACACCTCCGCTCGGTGTTTTTCGACAGCTAGCCTCTCTGCTAGCCGGAGCAGCTGGACAGTCAAAGCTCCAGCTCCGACCGTTGGTAATGGAACGATCAGTCCTACGTCCCAAACAGGACGGCAAGCGACGGAGAAAGAAAAAGAAAAACTCCCCTACTTGCCCTGGTTCCTGTCAAATTTCAATGCCCGACTGTATGTTTTAAATGGCATTTGTTTGGGGGACGGTGCTACCTATCTACTACTACTACAGGACCCTTTGTTCCTGCCAGCCGAGACACGAAAAAAACAAAGGCCCCGCCTCCTTCGGGCTCCCCCGCCCATCCCATCACACAGACCGGACAAACACGGGCCTCGCTCCACGGCCAGCAGGGATCCCAATTTGTCTTGTCCTGGAACTGTAGGGGCAAAAGAGGACCCCCGAGTGGAACAAGATGGGTCCCCGTTGAGAGGATCAATTATCAGCCCACATTTTGCCCCTTAACACACACGTATTTCGGATGGACAAACTACTTTCTATTCTGTATCAGCTTGTACCAACTCTGTTTTCAAAGCTACATAATGTTGACTATGTCAATATGCCTAATGTTTTTATTACTTCACCATTCTACTAAATGAAAGTATAACATTATTATTGTTGCGATTCAATAAAGTCAGACTGAAGCACTCCTTTGTGCATCAGTCAATCCTCACAGTAACAGAGCTAAATCCCAGATCAAATGCATGCTAAAGGGTCTTTGAAAATGTTTTCTCTCAGTGATTGTGATGTTATGTTAAATGTTTGTTGTTTGTTTTTCATGTCTTGTGTCATTTGTCTATGTTGATGTTACACATGGAGCTGCTGTGATGCAAGTCAAATTTCAGACTTGATCTGACCAATAAAGTATTATCGTATCGTTATCGTATTAATATGTGAATAGGTTTATACACATTTGAGCAAAACTCATCCAGTCCTATGGGTATTTTTGGAAACTTTGGGGTCCCACTTGAACTTAGAAGTCTGGTGGGTTTGAATAGTATAAGTAGACCATCAGTTCATCTCAGCACAGTTCCTTGTAAAAAATAATACTAAGGTTACATTTAAAAAATAAACAGTTGATGTCTGCATTCAACCACAGACCAAAGACTTTCAGGTCTATTTGCTGTGAAACTTTGCAGTAATTGTTTTAATATTTTTATGTCCTGGTGCATTAATACAACCATTGTATGGCAGGGTTATTGACACCTAAACAATGTATATTATATAATTGGGTAATCGATTATTTAAAAAAAAAAAATGTGCTCGGGCTGCTGGAACTATTTTGACAAGCACCTTTGTCCAGTACTCTAGTGCATCCTGAGCGTAACTATAAAGAAAAAAACGTGTGATTCAGATGCTGTGTCTACACTGTTCAGCAAATGTTAGAAAAAGACTAGTTACTTAAAAAGGCTGTTTAATTCGAGCCAACTTTGTGAAGGCTTATGAAAATTGTCAGCCTTAGCAGATGACTCAAATCCTTCAGACCGCAGTCCTGAGCCTCAGATTATGTAAGGGTATAATCTGCAGCCTCACTTTTAATCAATACCCACTCTCATGTTTACAAGCAATATATTTGAAGCCCAGAAAACCTTTTGTGGTCACAAAGTGCATTTAAAAGCTCAATTTGTTGAGGCTTTCACTTGAGCTGCAGTAGGTTTGTCGAATTATGTAAGCAGGGAGAGCAGATGAGAGAAGAGCAGCAATAGATTGACAGGAGAGTGCCACACAAATAACTGCTGTGAATGGTAGGCTACATCATCTGTACAATTCTGGTTGGTAAACGCTTTCTAGATAAATTAACTGTGATTAAATCCAGTGAGTTGTCTTTAAGTTATGACAGAAAACTAAGAATTAAACAGCTACAACAGGAATATAGAAGAGAGGCTAAAGCCTTTTGTTGTAACACACCCAGATCTTTGATCTCTTGTTGAAAACAATGATTCCCCAGTCTGCCTGTGTTCAGTGTTGATGGACTGACACAAGAAGAGATGTGACAGAACAGCATCTCCCTCTGCTGGTAAACGCTGAAAACATCCTCATGCTTCAGAATACAACAGTATAAGACAATGAACTTTATCCAGCAGTTTATGCTGTAAACTATTGACAAATAACCTGGAGCTTCTAATAAAATAAACTATATGTTTTCTATCATGTAGTTATATCTTTATCTGCCTATTCCATGATTATAACAACCAATAACATGCACAATAATGCTTTTATTTTAAGAGTGGGCCATCTGAAGAAAGACGGCATCCTATTTCATCTGTAAGAGTCACACATACACTATATGCACACATACACACCGAGTACCAGGTAAGTAGCACCGGCAGGTAGTGATAACATTAAATAGCAGTCATATGCACAAGAACTCAGTTCTATTTTAGTCCCCGGAAAACTGGTCTTGTACTACACACGATTTCTTGTATTTATAGATCCTTAGCTTCTAAGACCACTTTACACATACTGTTTTATGCAGAAGTTGGACTGCATAGCATTAACACAGAAATACATTCAGTGCAAGCCCTGTTCCAGAACAAAATGACTAAGAATGTATCTGAAATGAGTGAGGGTGCACTAGTAGCTACAGTACATTTTTGGCCATCCATGGAAAATAGTATGGAATTGAAGGCTTCTACGAAAATGTCCCTAAATAAAGAGCAGGGTTTCCCACACATAGACTTTATGTGTGGGAAACATACAGTCCCCGTTCTCGGCTACCACCACAAATATATTTCAGATCTGTGGGAAACACTGAAGAGGTTATAATGGAAGACAGCTAGAAAAGGTAGAAAATAGTACCTAGTAAGTGGATAACAGCACGCAAACCTTCAATATATTATAACGCCTGCCACAATGCAGGGCAGTTTTAACCACAGACACAACATCTTACTAAATCCCTGTTTGTGAGTGTACGTAAGAAAGTTATTATATTATTTTTTTAGAAGACAACCTATAACATTTAAAAAATAAACTGACTGACTGAAAAAAAACTGTTGTGAGCTGTGAACAAGTCAGATATGCCTTGAAAGCATATTTCAAGTACTACTTTGATGTGTGTATAATGTGCAAACTTTTGACAGTGAGAGTGAATCAGTAGTGAGGAAAACTGAAGAGAGCGCTGGTGAACAGCATGTTAAGACTCCTGTTGCTGCTCTTCAAGACGAAGCAGAAACCTGTCAGGGAAACCGTTGTGACACCTGACTGGTAGTGATAGAAACACGGCAGCAGACAGCACTAACACAGACTGCGCCCAGAGGATGCTGCTGTGGGCTGACAGGAGGAAGCCAAACAGTATGTGTTCCAGATAAAGAAGGTTGATGGATTACAAATGAAAGGGAGTGTGTGAATGTTGGTGTTATGGACACTTTGCAATGACAGGGGTCACTGGTCTGAATCCAGGTAGAATTAGCCTGTTGTTGACGGACTGGATCTGCTGCAGTGTAAACTGTAGGTTTGGTCATTTATATGGTTTGTCCTGTTGTGCCAACATCCACGGAATTAAATGAGGTATCCTAAAAAAAGAGTCATAATTAACCAAAGTCCCTTCTATAATGTGTTATAGAAAAAGAAAATCCACCACAAAAACAGGACTTACACTTTTATTCTTATGATACTGCATGAGTCAGTCATTTCTGATCTTAAACTGAACAAGAGAGAGACTGACTGCAGCGTTATATTATTAAGAGACTAATCTTGGACTATGACACAGATTCTGAATAATTAAACAACTATGACACAGCACCTGCATTTACTGGAAGTTGGACACTTAATCTAATTTACAACATGAAGCCATGAATACTTATTCTAATGTTACATCTCCGAAATTAAATAAGCATGATGATTCAGTCACTATTTCCAAGTAAATGGACCAACTCCCCTTTCTGACATCATTATTCAAGTCTTGGTTCTTGCCTGATTTTCAGTTTAGGGAAACACATTGAAGTCAGAAGCACTCTATTCTTTCAGATTTATGGCAGGAATTCCTTGAAAAAACTGTCAACAATTGCCTTTATATTCTTATACTTGTTTGCACAATTCATCTTTGACACCAGCTAAAACAAGCTGCTTAAATCTTTTAGTTTTCTATACTTTGTATACCTTGTAAACAGTTGTATTTGCACACACGTACTGTAGGTGGCATAGGGATAAAGCAGAACGCTTCCAATGTACTCTGCGGCTGTCCTCCTCACAGCTTTTGTTTCCAGAACACAGCTCTGTTTCAATCTGAGCGATGTTACTGTAACCTTCTACTGTACCTCAGTACCAAACCCGCTTTCATGTTATAAAGACTCTGCGGCTTGCACATCTCCCACAAATAAAGGTGTGCTTTGACAGATAATCATTTTTTCTTTCCTCCACATGTAGTCTTCTCCCCATCCTCCCCCTCCTCCCGGCTGTGGCACATGCCAGCTTTCCTCTGCCATCCTGTCGGCCTGCAGCAGATGTGACATCACTACAGCACGTCTCCACTCTACAACCCCCCCCCCCCGCCATCTCTCTGACTCCCCAGCATCTCTGTCTCCCACGCATTCCTTCTTTCTCTCTGCCTCTGCACACAGCCATTTTGATCTAGCAAACAAGATCTGAGGGACTCACTAGGGTAGAGAGAGGAGGGGACTAGGAAAAAAGAAGTGAGGAATTGAGGAAGGAAAAAAGGTTTTCAGTGCAGTGAGATAAAGCTGTGGCAGTCGTGTTGTTGTGAAACGGTAATCAAAAAAGCCCTGGCCGTTTGGCTGCCATCTTGGTTCTGCTTAAAGTCACTTTTCTCCAATCAGGAGCCATGTGACTTTCTGCATGAGGTAACACCACTGTTACTGCAAAAGGCACTGAAGGAGTGACAGAGAGAGAAAGGGGGGTACAAGCAAGAGGGGGCGAGAGTGAGATGAGGAAGGCAGAAATAAGAGGGAGGGGTAAGAGTGAGATGGGTGAGAGATGGAGAGAGTGGTGAGCAGAGGGGAGCGCGTGCTTGAGTGCATGCGAGAAGGGAAGGGAGGGAGAGAGGGGTATCTTCGGCTCACAGGCAATCTATTTTTACCATTTAGTCTGAACAAAGGATGTGATTGGCTCCACTGTGTTAGGACGGATCTCCTTCATGCGGGGAACAAAGCCTTAAAAAGGCTGATTCACAGCAAAGTCACAACAACAGCAGGATGTCACAGGGTTGTCAATGAACTAGACAGACAGGAGAAGTCTGTTTTTAATCATGACTCACATTCTGCTACATGCAAATATGCTCCGTTCTGATTCCTCTGTTCTATAGTGATTTGACCCAATAACAAAACAAAGACATACAGGACCAAAAGAGAAAGTGCTGCAGAAAGAGAGAATTGTTGGATTCCCACACAAAGGATGGGGAGGATCTTCCATCCACAATAGTGCAAGAATGTAAACAAACCAGCGTTCAACTATAATGATTTACAGTGTGCACAGCAAGGCAAACCGGTGTTGATCAATGTCATTGTTCTGACAGATCCAGCAGCCTAAACTTGTCCTAGCAGGTTCCTCGTGAAGGTGTGTGCGAGTGTACATGCCTGCTCTCCATGTGCACGCAAGCCTACATGTGTAAACCTGTGTGTTTGAACGCTGAAGGCAGATCTCTCTGGGTCGACCTCATTCTCTGTGTAGCCTTGAAAAACATGTGGATGTCATTAAAAGTTCTGCTCTGGAGTTGGGTCTGTCAATAGAGAGAGCAAAGGAGGCAGATTTCCTGGAAAACTACAGCACAGAGAGAGGAAACAAGATAGTAAAGAATCTGACAGGAGAACATGAAGGCTTCGAGGCCTCACTGATATTATTCCATCTGATAGGCGACTACCAATGAATCACAGTAGCCCCATTAAAATGATACTGACACCCTAATTCAATCTGCCCTCTCTGAGTTCCCCATGAGCAGATGGTACAATTCAATTTATATCTGTTCCTTGCTCCCTTGTGCTGCAGAGGCAGTCTCCTGGCACTTTGAGGCTTTCACTGTGCACAAGGCAACCGTCTCACTGTGGTAGCGTTAAAGAGAAATGGCTCCAAAGTCAAACAGGATCAAACACTCGATGGGATTATAAGATCTGCTTGATAAAAACTGCCACAACATTTTGCCTGCCAAAGACTGACATGTGTAGACAGAACTACTAGATTGACTTTCTTCATGCTCTGACACGGTAGCATAAGTGCAGAGTTTGAATACTGACTACCAATTAGACGCCATAGCATTGCAGTAAGACATATTTTATGTACGATTTATTTAAAGCTCAAGAATGTTGATTTCAGGAAAAGCCAACCCAAGCGTAACAACAGCATTACAAATGGAAATATGCAGGAATGCAAAGTCACATTAACAAAGAGTTGCCTAATATCCAAATATATAACAGCAGCTTAACTCCAAGCAAATTCAACTCTTTAGTTAAATCTTTAAGTAAGCCTCATTAATCGTTTGCACTCATCAAGAGAGACGATTAAAACTATTTTAAATTGAGTAAAGTACTTCTGCTTCATTCAGTTCTGTCCTGTGGTATAACAACGTTTTTTTTTTACAGTAAGCAGGGATTTTCACCAAATAACTTAGACATATAAGAGCAAAATAATGTAGAAGAATATCTATAGTGGCTAGATAAAGCTGAGGAAAGGAGTGAAAAGAGCCAGCAAGTAAATTACTTATTGATATCTCAGTGTGTCTGTAGGTGGCAAAACTCAAAGAGCCATTGATCTTCTGCAGCACAGCAAGCTAGCGTGACTGAAAGGGCCTGCTGAACAACTCAATCCCAAAGTGAGGTAGCCTCAGTCTATAACCTTGTTTTAGGTTAGGACATGTGTTGAGAGCGGAGCACAGCTACACGTGTCCATGCACACACACACACACACACACACACAAACTAACACAGCCTGACGCTGGCCCTCGGCAGCTTTGCAGCACTTTTACATAAGTCATCTTTCTGACAGCTCCACTGAGCACAGAGACGGAACAGGAAACAGGGAGAAAAGAAAGAGACTGTAGGCACTCACCGGGACAAGCACAACCTCCAACAGACATCTTCTCACATGTTGGGCTCTGCTCTGAACGAAACAGCTGCACTCAGTCCACACGCCGCTCGCATGGGCTAACTCTGAGGAAAACAACACAACGACAGAGGGGTGGAGAGATTAGTGGGAGTGGTACAAAGCAGGGCATGTACACCACAACTACACTCCTCTCCCTCTGTCAGAGGCAGGAAGTTGGCAGTGGTGCTCTAGCTGCATCATTAATAGGCATATTGCAACACAAGTGGGAGGGGAAATGAGAGAGGAGGGATATAGGAAGACAGAGCTTTTACATAATGTGAGACAGGAGTAAGTAATATGGAATGGAGCGAGGCACTGTGTGGGTTTCTGAAAGGGATAATGCAAGGGGGAGGTAATTACAGCAAAGGAGAGGAAAGAGAGAAAATGCACAAGGTGTGTGTGTGTGTGTAGCAGTGATGCATCGTCCATTTTTGTCCGTTGCTGCTGTGGGAGATAAACATACTCAGTAGGAGCCCAGAGGCAGAGGGTCATTACTGCCAAACAAACACACATGCACACACACTCACTCACACACACACTCCCCCTTGTGTATGACAGATTTCCATCTCTCTTTCTGTCTCTCGCTTCTTGCGTCTGTTTTTCTGTTTCTGAGAGAAGACTGGTGTTAATCACTACAGACAGTATCGATTAAAAATGCAAAGCCCACCTGGAGCACAGGGACACTGAGAGCCCATGGGAGGCAGGAAGAGAGCGCATGTGGGACGTGCACGCACTCGTTCACACGGAGCTGCATGTAAACAGTCTGACTCGGCTGCAAACTGTCTGCCCAGCAGACTCTTTTATACTCGTTTCTGGCTTTTTAATCTTCACTTCACTTGCAATTTAATCTCCTCAGCCTGTTGATATTACCATGACCTTTCTGCAGCTTGATGTGATTTTGTTTCATTTCCTTTCCCTCCTCCACGTCTCTGGTTTCCCTTTCCGTTCATCCCATAAGTTCTCTTGGCTCGAGCTTGCCTGTTCTCCGAGCCAATAATCTTAAAATCTCACACTTCACTACACAAACACACGAGCACATAAGTGACTCTCATGAGCTGGATGTCTTTGTTGCTCGTGTACATGATCCTGTCAGATGGATAACAGATTGACCCGTATCATTGAGTCATCCTGACTCAATCAAAAATACAAAAGGTTTAAATAAATTACAACTTCAGCCTACACTGCAAAAACACATCAGGGCTGACAGTATATTAAAGTGATTCCCACAGAAAAGGTTCTTGTACCTCAGGGGATACTTGTACAAATTGCAGAGTAGCATTGGACTAAATGGAATATCTGATTTCTTAGGAATTATTTCCACATATTGACTGTTGAACTGCAACCACAATTGAAAGTGCATGAAAATGTTTTAGAAAGCAGATACAAAATAATGGATAGTAGCTGCTAAAAGTGATGGATGAACTGAAATTAAAATGGTATAAGAAAAGGTCAAATGCTTAAGTAATGGATAAAAAGTATTTAGGTAAATACCATACAGTAGATACAGTGTTCTGAAAGTACTGGATTAGAGGTTTACATTGATAAATATAATACATAATTGGGTTGTATAAATGCAAAAAAAGTTCTTACAAATTGACAATTTGTTGTAACAATATCTACTTTTATATAATTAATGTTGTTAAATACTATGGGTTGAAATAATGATGGATGTTCCAAATTAGTCATCATTCATCTGTTCATCTGTTTGGGTTTTGAAAACACATTAAACCACTGGTCTAATATATCCATGAAGCCAAGAGGCTCCAACAAGAGGATACACAAGAGTTGAAGCCCAGGAGAGTTGAACAAACCTCAGAGCTATGTTGTCTCTCCCTCACAACCATTACACTAACAAAAGACAAACAACTGTCTCCACTGAAATGCAAGCTGACAGACGCATTCCCCAAACACCAGCGTACTGGCAGAGGCATCAGAGTTAAATGTCATACACGGTGTCAGACACTGTTCTCAGGACCGAGACACAATGAACCACCCTGCGGGCCTCCTCTTCTTTCCCCCTACTCATCTCTTTTAATTTCCACTTCCCACACACTTCTTGTTTCTGTCAATTCTGTCAAAGAGACAAGGTCTGTCTCTCACTGATGTTCTGTCATCATTCGGTTCCTTGTGCGCCTTGTAGGTCACGATCTGAGGCTTTGACATGTACAGAAGATTCTGCTATTGTAATATGGTGAACTCTGAACAACAGAGAGACATCCCCAACACTGAAAGAGACAGAGATAAGAGCGAGAGAGAAGAAAAGGAACGGTGCATGTCTGTGATTTTGGGAAAATGGCTTCTGTTTCCAGGAGCGATTAAGCTTTGAAGCTGAGCACTTCACCACTGACTGCACTGTCTCCCCTCTCTTCCTCTCACTCTTCATCTCTTGCAGATACAGAGATTCCCGCTCTGTCAACACGTCCACACATCACTCAAAAAGCTGCTGTGAGAATAATGAAGTTCCCCCCTCTGTTCTCTACACTGTGGGAACCCTCAGCAGTTCAGTAACACTGTGTGACAGACAGCACACACAATGTCTTGCTTACTGAGGTAAAACACACTCTTGGTATGTATGACAAACACTTCCTCGCATGCACTGACAACCTTCCACACATTTCCAACAAAATGTTTAAAAAGCTCCAGGTGCCATACTTGTTATCTCAGGTGAGTTCATGCCTTTCATGCTTACCTCTCAGTCTTTTGTCTTGCAGTTGTTCTGCGACCCCCACCCCTCCTTTCCTCTCCTTGTCTTTTATGCACAGTTTTTCACAGGCAAACACTCTCAAACATCCTCCATCTCAACGCTTACCTTTGTCTCCCTCCTTCTTCTGCGCCCACGCTCGCTCCGAAAAGTCCGCCTGGGTCAGCCACGCAGAGGTAACCAAGCTGCGCCAGAGAGAGTGAGAGAGACTGTGATGAGCAGATGCAGATAGGAGACACACATGAAGGGAGGGGGTCTAGCAGTGTGCAAATTGGATGCTGGGAAGGAAGGAAGGAGGGAAGGAAGGAAGGAAGGAAAGAGAAGGAGGAGGGGAAAAGAGGGGGGGGCTGGTCTGGTATTAATATGACGCAGAGGCAGGAGTCAGAGGCACTTTTCCTCTCTCCTCTCCAGCCCCATCCCTCCATACCCACCAAGAGAGAGGAGAGAGGGCACTGTATCCATGGCAACGGCAGAGCAGCTGTAGGTAGCAGTCGAGGAGTGTGTTGGGGCACAGTGGTGATCCTCTTTCTCCGTCTCTCTCTCACACAGTCCAGCTCATAAGTCGTTCAGCTTTCCCTCCAGAAGTACAGTACAGCCTAAGGTTTAGTGGGGTAAAAGCTGTAGAGGAAAGGAGCAGCAGTGGATTCATTAGAACATTACTGGTAATGAAAAGCAGACTGGTTGGGCCAGTTGTGTCTCAGACACGTGGGGAACAGGCACCAAGGAAGCACAAGTTAATCTTACTGTAACCGCCAGCATCACGTAACGGAATTAGTTACATTTGTGCTAAATAACGATTCTTATCATGCAGTTTACTCTCCCCACCTGATGGGGATAATGAGAAACATTACAAACACCATGATATGACAGAATAAAGACAGTGATTTAAAACAAGAAGGAAACAAAATAACTGTCTCTGTGTGAAGCCAAAGCTGAAACGAGATTGTGAAAGAAAACAATACAAATGTAAATATGTCTTGGTGACGCAATCAATGGAATTTGACTACAGAAAACAACTATGCAGAACTTTCTCCTTGGGTTACTTGTTCTCCCTGAAACACAGGTACTGTCATTTAGCATAGCCTTCTGTCCAGAGCCATGTAAATGTTCCCCCTGTACATCTACACGTATCAGGAGCAAGTTGGGTATCATTCTCTTGCTCGACAAGCTAGTGTAGAACATGTGGACAGGAGGAGCCAGGGACTCATTTTCAAACCTTTAAATTGCTCTCAAAATGAATCAGTAAACTAACTCCATATATTATTAAATAAATGCCATATGCCTAAAAGGGTCATGTTCTTCAAACGAAAAACAGCAAGGGACCATATTGATCAGTGGACTCGTAATTGTTGCTAGAGGGAAAACTGGATGGATGCCAGAGAATTTACAGCACACAGTACAGTGGGTCTGCAACCTAGTGTCTGTAGTTTCGTACAATAATACTTTTTCTAGTTAAGCATAACGCGTAAATGAGTTTACTGAATAGCTGCAACAAGAGGAAAGCTGTTAAAGAATGTAGAGGGATTTAAAAAATTCAAACTGCGCACATAGCTTTTTTTATTCTTCACACAGCAGACATTTAATGACATGTAAAACAGAGACACAGACAAAGAGTGAGTGTGAATGATTCTGCACGTGGTTGTGGCTGGACTCACCTCTAATCCATTTCTGCCTGTGGGATACAGGGAATTGCCGATGGCTTTTCAGTGACATGCAGTAGTGATCCTAATGAGAAATACATCCTCGCCACTTTTGTATTCGACCCAATTTAATCCCCACCTCTGTTTCACAGCCTGTTTTCCTTTTTTACCCGCCTACTTTTTACCTTTCCTTTATGTATTATACCCAGTTACAAATAGACATTCACCACATCCTTGGCTCTATAGGAAAACTAATTTTCTTTCCACTATTTTGTTAGTCCTCAGTTATCGGCCAATGTCCAATATATGCATCTCTGGGTCTACTTACTAGCTTTTCTCAGAGCTTCTCAAAGTATTTTTGAGTAAATCTAGTTTCCTCCGTTTGTGTTTGTTCTACAGACGTCAATTCACTCCACAGTGTCACATTGATTTTCAGGGTAAAAAATACTATACTATAAATATTAAAATTCAGCATCTTTCAAAATAGATAAAAGCCTATAGTTTTTGCTGAACAGTGCCCACTGGTGCCACAAAGAACAATTACAGGCTAAAGGAAATGCTAAAAAAGAGAAAGTCAACTTGAACTGACAGACCTGATTCTTTGGTATTTTTAAACAAGAAAAAAAACAATTAGCATTTAATAACAGTATGATTATATACATGCACTGTTAACACATTTACTTTTAAATGAAAACATGATATACTATTACATTAAAGATGAATTAAAATGCACTAATTTAAGTTTGAGAACTATAGAACAATTTGAAACAACGCCTTTCTTTTGAAATTACAATCAAGGCCACAAGTAA